ATTGCTAGGATTATAGGTGTGAGGCACTGTGCCAGGCCAACAGTTGTTATTTCTAATCCCAGTAGAAAGGCTCTTGCTGGTGTGGAGACGGAGCAGTGCATTTTAACAAATGGATCTTTTAGTATTTCCAACTAACAAGATCACTTCTATTGTAAGATGGATGCTTCAGATTATTAGACAGATGCTATTTTTTTTTTTTTTTTGAGACGGAGTTTCGCTCTCGTTACCCAGGCTGGAGTGCAATGGCGCGATCTCAGCTCACCGCAGCCTCCGCCTCCTGGGTTCAGGCAATTCTCCTGCCTCACCTCCTGAGTAGCTGGGATTACAGGCACGTGCCACCATGCCCAGCTGATTTTTTGTATTTTTAGTAGAGACGGGGTTTCACCATGTTGACCAGGATGGTCTCGATCTCTTGACCTTGTGATCCACCTGCCTCGGCCTCCAAAGTGCTGGGATTACAGGCGTGAGCCACCGCGCCCGGCCCAGACGGATGCTATTGATAGGGACAGGAGGCAGGCAAATTCTGGGCAGAAGAGGGAGGGTCTCTGGTGAGGGCCCCACCCTAATGCCAAAAAGCCTAATACCATGGGCCAAAGTGAGAACTTACATCCTTGTTTTCCTGCTCAAATGTTGCCTTTTCTAAAACCATCCATGGCCCACCCCACCCCCAATCCTGTGCCCATAAAAATCTCAGACTCAGCCAACAAAGAAAAGAGAAGAGGAGAAGCAAGTGGATGTTGGAGACCATGGCTGGGGATGGCCGGACTCCAGGGGATTACCTTCCTGCTCCATGCCCCTTTCAGCTCCCATTCCAGCTGAGAGCCACTTTCATCAGCAATAAAATCCCCTGCATGCACCATTTCCAATTCATTTTTGTGACCTCATTCATCCTGGATGCTGTACAAAAACTTGGGTGCCATGAGTGTGGGTGCAAAAGGCTGTCACACTGACCCTCCACTGAACTGTTAACACTTAAGCTGTCTGCGGACAGCAAAGTTAAAAGTGTAACACTTCCTCTGGAGATTCAGGTGTCACGGGCACCTTCCCCTAAATGCCGCCATGGGGCTGGTATGGAGTTCGCTCTTGCAACCAGTGCCAAAAAGTGATTGCCCCAGCTCCTGCACCTGCTCACCTGTGAGGGGTGGAGCAGCAAGTGAGTGGAGTTCACTCATGCTGGCACCAAAGTGGCTGCTAGTTACAGTACCCATGCACCCCAGTTTCTGCCTGAGAAGGGATTAGGGAAATATCTCGCTTCACTATTAAACAGTTGATTCATATAACTCTCTTATTCGGAGTCCATGCTAGCCAAACAAGTTTATTATCTGGCTTTCTATATCTCTGTAGTGAAATCGATTCTACTGCTTAGCAAAAAGCTCTTGGTTCAAACTCACCAGGGACTACAATTCTTGGATTCTCTTCCCTTTCAGTTTTTCTTTCTTTTCCGCAACAATCTTAGCTTAGAGTCCTTACAACCCTATCAGATTACTAAAGATCCTCTTCAATAAATGAAGTCATGTGTTCAGATAACAGGAAGATTCTCTGGCAAGACTAGCTTTTGTCAGGAAGGCTGATCTGTGGTTCTCATTTCTAATGATGAGATTTACATAAATGTTTAGAGAAGCAGTATTAGTGTGGTGAGTAAAAGCATTGATTTTAGAGCCGGACTACTTGGGTTTGAATCCTGGCTCTGCTACTCTCTGGCCATGAGACTATGGGTCCATTATCTCACCTTTCTTTGTCTGTTTTTTTCAATCAGTAAAATAGGGGTAAAAATAATCCACTCCAAGAAGCTTTTGTGAACACTAAATTAGTTAATATATATAAAGTGCTTAAGATATTGGTTGGCTAGTAGATGTTTTATAAAGGTTATCTATTGTTGTTACTTTGTAGCTTGACTCACATTTGACAGACTGTGCTAAATATGCCAACATAAGTATTCGATTAATAACTGACATTAGGATGTTCATCTCATTGCATGACCCAATGTTTTGGGATCTGATTACCTTGGGAACTGAACAGGCTCACATTGAGAAAAATGGCAATCTAATTGAGGTATTACCAGTGAAGTCCTGCTTAGTTTCTACCTGCCTTCCACTTTCTCTATTCTGATTTCAACAAGGTGTAGTGAAATCAAATGTTTGGAACTTTGAAATGCTAGAAATGAAATGAATAAACTAAGGAATCTGCCAATGATTACCAAAGGGTTTGGCAAACTATAGCCTATGGTATGTTTTTGTACAGCTGGAGAGCTAGGAAAGGTTTTTACATTTTAAAAGTGTTGTAAAAAAACAAAACACAAGGAAGAAAACAAAACAAGAAGAATATGCAATATAGCCTGTATATGGCTTGCAAAGCTTAAAATATTCACTATTTGACCTTTTAC